ATGTAACATATATGCAAAATTATGTGTCCGTGCTACTAACTGTTGAAGAGTATTCTCATGAGGTGACAATCCTGGCTGCAGCATCATCTCTATCATTTTAGTGTATTATCATCAAAACTGAACGAGCATGCAAAATTTCAAAGTCGTAAGTTTAGAGGAAGTGGTTCAAATATGGCTTGCAAGACTTAAACTGAACAAACACATCATACATGTGAAGTTAAATAAAAGCTTATAATAATCCCTATAAGAAATAAAACCTTTCTAATACTACGGAGGTTAGTTATAGCACTGATGTGAGAAGAGGGAGATAGGACTACTACATCCTGCCAATTCCCTATTCCTCTCACTCATCACCATCGCGCTTTTTTGTTGATGGCTCACTCAAGTTATATGTACTACAAGTTAAGTCTTGTTTTAAAATAATAATTCCCTCAGCCAAGTCACCCAGGTGAGAAGGGGTTACAAACCCATATGGCGATTTTTATTTCTAATCTTTGAGTAATTATATGTATTTGTGTATTTTTTTTACTTTAATGCAAGTTATTATTTCTAGATCACGCCATAAGCACTGCTATTTAATATGATACATTTGCATTGCCACTTTTTTTCAGAAGCTGGTTTTGCCGCATTTCCCATATAGGAAAAATAGACGTTTGATACAATTAGCTTCCAATGCGTATTTACGGATAATGCAAGTGTCTGGTATGTGATTTTAATAGTTTCAGGCTATCAAGTATCTGGAACGCGCTAGAATATTTCTGTCCACTTACTTTCTCGATATCAATGTAACGAAAGTGTTATAGTATTTACAGTTATTTTTAACCGATTATAAGTTTATTTCTAAAATTGGAACACGTTAAAAGTAACAGCAATATCAGAAAGTATTTTTTTACAGTTAAACATCGCAAAATTAATTTAAATTAGATGTATTAACTGTAGTTTCGTTTTTTCTATTTTTATTGGAGGCGGACAGGCATTACATTTGCAATATCAACAAAGAATACGTTGACCTATGCAAATTTTAAATCATAATGCTTGAGCCAGTAAAACTTAATTTAGAATACTTACATATTTAGCAAATACATTAGTCTATTCAATTTATAGGAGTAATCCTTCCTTGCATGGTCACTAGATTTTGTAACAAACACTTACGAGGTCTGTTCAGAAAATAACCGAACTTTCTGAATTACGCGCTAACGGAGATATTTAGTTGTATGCAGTTAGCAGCACTGCGAATAACCTCGTCTGTAACTACATATTCTTAAATTGTTGATGTCTCATTTAGTTTTCATGATATTGTTATTTGAGTGCAACGTGTCTGTGTTAGTGACCATTTTTTAAATGTACGATTTTCTGGAGCAACGATGCGTCGTAAAATTTTGTGTTAAACTGTGGAGAACTTTCACAGAATCGTATTAACTTTTGAAACAAGCTTACGAAGATGATGCTCTAGGTCGTACGAAATCTTACGAATGGTTTTCAGGATTTAAAAGTGGTCGTCAGTCAGTTGAAGATGATTCTCGACCAAGAGGGCCGCCGACTTCAACTGATCACTGCCACGTTCAGAAAGTCAAAGACCACCGATTAGCTGTCAGAGAAATTGCAGAAGAGGGAAGCGTCTCAATTGGATCAAATTGAAAAATTGAATGTGTATCGAGTTGCAGCAAAATGTGTTCCTCGTTTGATGACCGAACAACAGAACGGACGTTTATGGGCAACTCCTTGAATAATAGAATGACGATGAAACATTCACTCAAATGATCATAACGGGCCACGAAAGCTGGGTTTACGGCTACGACATTGAAACAAAGTTCAATCATCCCAATGAAATGGTAAAGGATCTCCACGCCCCAAAAAAGTCAGTCTCTGTCCAATGCCAAAGTGATGCTCATTGGTTTTTTCCACTTTAATGGAATTGTGCCCTTTGAATTCTTAGGTCGGTTATTTTCTGAATATCCTAGTAGATACCTATGTACTAGTTCATACTCTTATATAAATTGCAAAAACTAGAATTTTGGGATACGTTAAGGTTTTAAAATCTTGCGACATCATCACACGAAGTGCATGCATCACATTGTATATCAGAGAAGTAATAACTTTTCCTGCAAATATGTTTTTTAGTACATTTTTTACCACCTTTATATTAGGAGTGCTTCTTAAAAATAATATAATATAAATATACAACTTTGTAACTACGTGATATATTTAATTGTAATAAATATATTTTCTGAAATTGCAGTGTGAAAGTTAGTTCCCTTATTTAATCAATATATTACATCTTCTAATTCATTTTTCTTATTTACTAGAAATTTTCTCCCGTGTGTGATATTCTGATTTCAATTTCATGTATCCTTATCTTATAGTATTTTTGTTTATACATTCAATGAGACCACAGCCATTTAATAAAGTGGTGTCTATTTTCAATATGCGTAACTGATATAACAAAGATAGTTGCTTTCGTATTATTGTGGTTGTACCTTGTGTAAGAATATATACAGGGTGTCCCATTTTAATGTCCCACCCCAAATATCTCGAAACCCGAGCAGAATGAGGGAAAATGTTTTAGAGAAAAGTTATAGGGTTCGGAGGGGGACATACGATGGTGACCTTGAAAATGACCTTGAAGTCGATTTTCAAGGTCAAACGAGGGTCAACTTCGATTTTTCAAATGAAAACCCCTATTTTTTATTGTAGGATCGTATTCTACGGAAAAAAATACAAACTTTTTGCAGGAAACTTTTTTTCGAAAATGCATTATTCTCCGAGTTTTTCACGAATTTCGTTCGTCATGTTGTTTGAAGTGTCAGATGGAT